ACCACCCCCAGCCCGGGTGGGAGGTCAGCGTTTGCCACGCGGCAAGCGGAAGCCGGCGGCGGCACCGCGAGTGAGCCGGGAGAGCCGTGCTCGGCCCCAGCGGGGCGTCGCTGGAAGGGAGAAGACTCGTGGGCAGATGTTTTTGGAGAAGATGAACTCCACGAGCATCAGGCCAAAGGGCTGCCTGGCCAAGAGCGGCCGGAGCTGAGCATCACTGGGCGATGAGAGCCGGGACAGAGCCGGGAGGGTGTTCGCAGGGTCCCAGCTCGGCGGCTTCTCCAGGGCTCCGGGCTCATCGGAGTGGCCAACGGTGGGGAGAGGGGCTTCGGGCATCCCCTGGCCCCAGAGCTGCTGCTGAGCCGCGGGGCAGCCCCAACCCCTCGGGGACAGCAGCTCCTGCGGACCCCCATGGCAGCAGCAGATGGGGAAGGGGAAAGCTCGCCGGTGCCAGGCAGGGCGGCCGCAGGGAGCGAACCCACCCGGGCAGGGGGTCCCCTGGCCCTGGGCCACCACGCGCCCCAGCCACGGGCAGGTTGGAGAGGCAGAGGGATGCTCCAGGAGAGTCCCCAGGTCCCAACTCTTCATCGCTCCCCCCCCGGGACATGTCCTCTTTCAGAGGGGGACCTCACCCTTCCCAGCCCCGGCCTGAGCTCAGAGGAGGCTTAATGCGAAAAACCTCCCCGAAATGTTGAGAAAAGCAAAACAATTCGACGCCCATTTGCCACATGCCAAACTGGAAGATGGTTTTCAGTTTCCCAAACCAGTTTGAAACGTAACGACGAAGCGGCGTTGGAGCCAAAGCCGTGCTGTGCCCACGCAGACGGGCAGGGGAGACCCTCCTGCTCCGGCACATCCCCCCCAGCCCCTCTGGAGACCCTCCGCTTTCATCGCCACCGTCACGCCACAGACGTCCCCAGCGCAGCTGCCTCCCTGCTTGCCGGTACCAAACCAGGTCCTGACTTTTCTTAGTTTGACATTAACGGAAAATCCCGAAGACCGGACAACATCAGCCCAATGGGCCACATGGGCAACAGCCTCAGAAACGGAGCATTTGCATTGCAGGGAGCGAACCCGGCTCGTGCCCTTCTCCAAGCAGAGAGCTCGTTGGCACAATGTTATGCAAAGATTGGGAAAAAAATAATCAGGAAGAGGTGTCGAAGAACCCGGAGGTGTGACGAGGATGGGGAGCCTTTAATCAGCCTGCTGGCCCTCACCACCTTCCTTTCCTACAGCTGCCGGGGATGGAGAAAGCAGATGGAGTTGGGCAATAACTGAGTGCGCAGGTGGGAACCACTCCATTTCTTGAGTGGTCACTCATGAAGGCTCTGCGCCTCAATTCCCCCACTTGGAGGACACACCTACGGACATCGGTCTTTGTAAAGGGCTCCAAGACCCGCAGGTAAGAGCTGCTGGAGGAGCTCAGGGTGGACTTACAGGAGAGCTGGGGAGGGACTCGGTCAGGGAGCGGAGCAATGGGACGAGGGGAAATGGTTTTACACTGGAAGAGGGGAGATTGAGATGAGATACCAGGAAGAAATTGTTGGCTGTGTGGGCAGTGAGCCCCTGGGGCAGGTTGCCCTGGAGAAGCTGTGGCTGCCCCATCCCTGGAGGTGTTCAAGGCCAGGTTGGACGGGGCTTGGAGCAACCTGGGCTGGGGGGAGGTGGCCCTGCTTATTGCGCGGGGGTGGAACGAGATGGCCTCTAAAGGTCCTGTCCCACCCAGACTAATTTATGATTCTATGACGTCTGTCAAGCTCAGGACCACATAGAAAAAAAATAAATCACCCGAAACTGAAAGCAGCT